CTGCTTGCTTCTTAATTTCCCACTCTTTTTTTCGCTTTAGGGTGCCCTGAGCACCGAACCGATGCCTCATTCAACACACAGATGGAACCCACCCCCTCGGGACTGCTTCTTAATTTCCCACTCTTTTTTTCGCTTTAGGGTGCCCTGAGCACCGAACCGATGCCTCATTCAACACACAGATGGACTCAACCCACCCCTTGCAAGCAGGCTATAGCAGACATCCTAACGATGAACTTCCTCAACCTAATCTTCATGGACTTCAAATGACTCCTCATTGGCCCCAAGTAATACATCATGACGATCCGACTCACTTTCCCGGACTATTAAACCATGGGCACCACAATCCCGGCGCCTCAGGCAGTGTGACTCGCCCAAATTGGGTCAACGGGCTCCTACCTGATCCTCCACATGTACGAGACTATTCGGAATATGGTATTCCAAACCTGCATACGACGGCACTCAACACAAACGACAGTGACGCGAACGACTCCCCGGAATTACTGACCAACGACGGTAACTCAGTTCATCCAAAACATCTGACGACACCAAGCAACAGACCATTAGTATCCAATCACAATTCCGACAATTTTATTCCCTGTTGACGCACATTATTCATTTGCTTCTATGCGCCACTCTCAACCGCATATTCCAAAACTCATAGATACTACTTTTATCGTTACTAGTGGTAGTAGTAGTATATGATCCTCGATTCCGTCCGGTTTACCACCGTAGACCAAGAACAGCAATCCTGCCCGTCCAAGGTTCTTCGCATTTCCTCCATTAATACTAACTAGTACAAATAACCGAGCCCATCGATTCCATTTTTCTTCTACGCGCATTTCTCTGCCTTCCAATCCTGCTAATTTTTGTCAAGTTCAGTCGTTTTTTCACCCCATTTGCTCTTTCCATGCCTTTATCTATCATTTTTAAGCCTGTCCAACGAGACCGACTATCAAGACAAACAAAGACGTGCTCTGTTTATCTGACCTTATTGTTTTCTTCACTTGTCACCTCATGCTGTTTTTTAGTCCATCATCATGTATGTACATACGCAAAGTATATATTTTCATATGCCCCATTTTATTCCTCATTTTACTGGCCCTGCTCCCCCCCTCTCTCGGTTTTTTCTGTTAAAGGCAGTCTTAGTAGGCCTTTTGTTTACGCGCTCACTTATTTGGAGCTTAAAACCGTGTTGTGTACAGTTTAGTCAACAATTAACCACATTCGTTTTTCTGTGCCAAGTAAACAAAACTGTTCAAATTAAGCTTGTGTTTTACTTGATTCCACTGCGGAGAGGATTCGTTAACTTTAACTCTGAATGTTCAGCGGATGTTTTGTGAAGAGCAGCACAGTCTATGGGATATTTTCCACAGAATAGAGTAGTTTGGTTGAGTTCAAAACAGCTAAGTGAATAAAGCGAGAGATTATTGACCGAAAAGTCCATGGTTCGAATCCAAATTCGGTATCCCGACCGCTGCTCTCTAGGCGTGGGAAACCTGACTACATTTCAGTCCCCGTGCTTCTTCCAACTGGCATGTCATTTTGGAAAGAGTGTTGCAAGTGAACGATTGCGTCCAGCTGATTGTAGTTTAGTTGGGGGCGTGTAGCTCAGTACTTAGAGCCCAGATTTACTGTCCGTGGTTCGAATCCGACCTATGCATCTCAAGTCCCTCTGTCTAGGCCTTGGCACCCTTGGCATTTTTCTAGTCCTCGTGCTCCCTTCGGGTGAAATGGCGACTAGACCTCGGAAGGGTGTTACAACTGAACGGTTTCTATCTGCCATGACATCCGAAAAAAGCACGAGGGCTGAGGTATTACTATGTTACCCAAACCTAGATGGGAGCAGTCTTCATGCCGGGGTTGGGTTCGAAACACTAACCTCCCGGCCAGTTTAGTTCGCCACCTGAGCACTAAGGTATCTTAAGCTCAAGTGGCCACTTCAAATAGGCACAAGGTAAACTACTAATTTGCCGATTACGCGGACAATCAAGGCTGTTAAAGTCTGGTTACACTGCAGTGACCTTCGTTTGGCCTTAGGCGATCGTTTTAGGACTCTGTTTGTGGAACCCTCGTGTCGCCTTGTAAAGGGGAAACAGATAATGGAATGCCACTCGTCAACATCTTGATAACGTTGTTAATTAAACCGCACTAAACTTTCAGTCAAGCCACGACTCTGGCCATACCCAACTTAAACCAGGAGCACCATCCTGCCACGCCCCGTTGTTGTAACTGTATGGTTAGCTATTTGAGTAGTACCACGTCTGGAAGTTTTAGGCAATTTTACATTGAGTAGTCCATTTTTACAAGGCATCAGTGTAAAGTTACGCTGGCATGGAAAGCCTCCTGCTATCTCTACCCGGTTTTCTGCGCTGACTCCAAACCAGTAGTCAATATTGCGTCATTTTTGGCCAGAATAGCTATCTGGTGTCAAAAAAACGCATAAATGACATAAAGAAGTCAAAGTTGGACAGATTTAGCTTGTGGGACAGACGTCATGGATACTGCCTGGCTGTTGTCCGCCATGGCAAGATTGCACTTCGTATCAGTGGTTATGACAGCCATTGCAATTACTCGCTGCTGCCGGTGTTAAAAATAGGTCTGATGTGTGAAGAATGGGTATCCGATCATCCCTTGACGGGCGCGCCTTCGACACTGTCCCTTTCGCATCCGGTCAAGTATCTGGGGGAGAAAAAATCGAAAACCTTGGAGTTCGGCATATCATAATGAAATTGCGTGAGAGCGTTAGCACCATATATCAGTCAACTACGCAGCGAGAAAACAAACGAACGAGGTCACTATGGACCAACCTAAATACCACAAGTCTCGCCCAAAAATTACGGGCCAATGCTTAATGCAGCATAATCTTCCAGAGGTATTTCACACTCGGTCTGTTCTTCTGATGGGCAATCAAGGTTCCTATTCCATTCACCAACATAAACTGCTTCCATGGTTTTTGCTGCACATCTGTTGAACTGTCCTTCAAAGTGTTCAGCCTATCTTCTCAATCGGTGTCTTTGCGGGTGTATTGCTGAGCCGCCTTTTTCACCAATCGTTTCGGTGACAGTTAATTTTCTTTAGTCAAATGGTTAGAGTGCGAATTTACTGACCGGAAGGTCCGCGGTGTGAACGGAAGCAAGCGGTATCCCAGAAGGAACGGCAGTCCTGAATTATGATTTCTCACCGGTCGCTGAGACTCGCGTGATCCCATTCGGTCCACTCGGTGGCGTTCAGGTTGCGTGATGCGAAGCCTAATGGTAAGTAAAGGTTTGTGTTGTCCGGAAAGAGTTGGCGGTCGGCAGACAACTGGGGAGTTGTTCTGCATTGTTAATTTGATGAGATTTGCTGCTCGTAGTTGACCGCCCGGATGTGATTCCAAGGAGCATGTGGTCCACAAGGATGGTATTTTCCCCACGTAACTTTAGGTAGAAATTTTCTCCCTCAACGTCGGAACTGCATTTTCTTGGGTCATATGGCGACACTACAAACTGGCGCCGTTTGTATGTCGAGTATCATTGGAATTGACAACGGAACAGCGCGAAAATTACTGTCCAGTATAATCAAATCCAGCGAAGCGTATTCAGCTTCTGGGCTGAATGAGGCTTTCAGACAGTATGTGCCACCATTCACCGGTTCTAGACCACTGGATACACAGTAGAATACAAAGGAACTGCGTTCATTTCCAGAGCTTTCGGGTGCAATGCTTCGCTGGAGTGCTGTATGCACGTTTCACGGACAACATACACCAAATTTAAGAGACCATAGGATCTGGGTAAACATTATATGTTTGCCAGTTTGACATAAATTAAAAGGCCTGTGTGACAACCCGTATGCTAAGATGATCTTGTGAAATTAGCGGTTTCTATTTATGATTGATAGTAAGGGTACATGAAAGCACATTGAGCAGGTAAATGAAACGCAAATTGTGCAGCGAAGTTTGTAAGGTTGGAAGCCATTGCGGAGACATGGTCGAAATCAGACTGTGCGGGTAAATAACGCTTTCCGTTCACCCAGACCGATAACGGTCTTCAGTCTGAGCCTTTGATTCAAGAGTGTGACCCATGCCGCAGGTAGCGGTGTTTTCTTGGAGAACCCTTTCCGGAGCGGAAAAATTAATATTCCGACCTGCCCAGCTGCATAATGCCAGGCCTAACACAAGGGCGCAGGAAATGCCTCTTCTTCCTTTTATACCAGATGCTTTTGGGTCCGTACTCTGCTCATGGCAAGGTATTGGATAATTCCTCGCCTGTTATCGCCGTTCACCCGGAGAATCTAAATTTTTCCATCAATCTTGTATGGTTAAGTAGCGTCGCTGCCTTCATAGATATGCGTATTCTGGTCGTTTGAAGGAAATACTTCATTGCATTAGGACTCCCTCTCCAGAGGGCTGTACGACCGTAACCCCAGACTGCCTCGTGTTACGATTACAGATTATTGCTATTGTTTGTATGACTGCTCCCGTTTGGCATTTCTGGCATGATTGCACATGGTGCACTGTAGTCCCCGCCACAAACCCACAGGACCATAGCAGCATTGAAGCCCGGCCGCCAAGTCCACGTGGCAGCTCTAGGTCAGGAGTCAAGCGGGCCCCCAGCAGGAAGGCCGTCCAAAAACAGCTGAAGACACAAACATAAAACTTAAAAATTGTTTCTGTCACAAAAGCGAGTACTGCTACTACAACCGCCATTTCCCAACCACAATGAGACATGCTGAGCCATGCAGAAGTGATGAACTGATGCTCACCACACTCAACATTGGAAACGCATTCAGAAGACAAAATGAATTTTGAACATGAGTTGTAAAGCACAGACTGTACATCACTGTGATGGTGGGAAATTGACAGTTACATGGCGTATCGAGTATAGACGCAATTACGTAGGTGCCACTTGCGATGGAGTATTCTCCTATGTAAGCGTCGTACTACCTGCCAGCATAGTAATAAACAACCAAAAGGACGTCAACCGTAAAATAATAACGTGGGATTTGGCTTTACTCTGCGGATCTACTTTGTCAGTTACGATTATTTCTACTCATGCAAAGATCAGAAGTCTGGTGCAAATGCACCCGTTGGAATATAATGTTGAACGCAACCGAATACATATTACAAACTGCTCCGCGAAATTCGATTGGTCTGCGTCCAGTTGGCATGAATTGGTGCCATCGTGAGAATTGTTATTCCCAGACTGGGTATTCAACGCCAGGTAACTGTATTGTGGTACCGGGAAAACTCGAGCATTCCGGTTAGTGCGGCCAGGCTAATGTGGTATCCAGGTCTAAAATCAATTATAACAGCCTGAGGGATATGTTTCACGAAACAAAACAGGAGATGCACCAAGCCCGTGTGTTTGTGACATGTACGGATTGTCGCGAACTGAGTGTAAACCGATGACGATGGTAGCCAAATGAAACAAACCACTTGGAGGAGTAAATGCAATCCACGAATGCCATGCTCGAGAAAATGTAATTATGGATAGCCCCGTGAGCCAATAGCCAGAAAGCGTTGAGCCCATAGATGAACTCAACCAGGCGTTCGATAATGATTTATCGGAATTGTTCCGACGGTACACCAGCATGACAGAACCCAAGACAATACAATAGAGGAGAAGGAGGACGGTAGGGCCACTTTGGGGAGATACAGTGCTGCACATTAAACAAGAAACTGCTCCTGGACATACCAGACGCCAGTATTTTCAAGAACTCGCGTATTTTGTGGTTCCGTCGCTATGTTACTTCTATAACAGAATCCTGGGAAAACTTTTTGAGCTTTGTGAACCATAATAGTATCCTTTCAAACGTTATTGACTGTAGGGTACAGAATGATCGCAAGCCCTTCTGTCTAACTAAAGTAGCCCAACATTTTAGAACAGTTATAGATTATCCATGCACATCTCTCCTCTCGAGGTGCACTTGATTAGGTTCAACGTGAACTTTCAGGTGAACGATCCCATAACCCGAGTAGCCTAGTGCAACGCCATTGGACACCAGTAAACAATCTACACAAGGTTTCTGTACTTTAGAAAGACACTTAGTTTTTTGAACCGATATAAACTACCCCAATTTATTCAATAACTCGAATTTAGTTCATCATTTTGCGAGTCGTTTGAGACATTTGTCTCCAAAACACGATGAATGTTGATAATATAAGCTGCTTACTCATACCTAAAAAGAGCTACTAGCTAAGCTCATCACAGAGGTGATTTTTATCCATCGCTGTTTCTGGTCTCTGCCGATTTTGCCATCAAATATTAAAGTGTTTA